AGTGAACAAGAAACGATGATTCAGTGAAGTCATGGTAGGCTTTGGAAAAAAATTGCTTTTGACGTAATAGTATAAACCTCAATATATTATTAGATCAACATTTTGATAGTCTTAGCAGCGTTTTTTTTTATCTTTTAACTGCTTTTTCAAAATGCCTTTATTGTTTGAAGTAGTTGAAATTGTTGACATTTTGAAGAAACAAGGACAACCTCCAGATGATAACGCATAAGAAACGTGGGCACACAAAGAGCACGTGCTCCGCGTCTTCAGGAACTCCTGGACAGGACGGGAACTCCGGGAAATCATCGAGTTTAAAAAGATGAAGATATGCTCGGAAGGAACCATGGTCTGAGATGTCTGTATCAGGTAGTAGATAACCTCACCATCCAGATCCTGTATGTAAGATTACAAATTCAGACGTATCCGCATCCACTCTGAGAGAAGCCTTAATCAAAACCGTGTATAATAACCATATCGTCGCCAACTCTAGCTAACTTCGCGTCTCCTCCCCGGCGAAGAAAATCTCGTGAACACTCGTGGCGCCGCTGCTGCTATTACCGCGGAAAATTGGTTGTTCGCCGGGAAAACGGAAATTTCCGAACGAAGGGATGAAAATGGCCGAACGTAAAAAGCGAATTAGCGTTTATTTAAAGTAAATTTGAAAGTTTTATGCGGTCGACGTGCGCCGAATTTCCACGTTAATATTCTTAGTTTTAATGCGGCTATTTTTATTGCCGACGCCACCAACGCCGCAGTTGTTTTATGGAATCGAAATTCCTTCGTGGATCCGGATGCGGGGAGGGTGTGATGGTAAAAAAAGTGATTTCTTTTCGTATTTTCGACATATGAACAGAAAAAATAGACCCAATTTACCCCATTTTTAAAAGGGTAAAAATTATTCAAAGCTATTCTAGAGACAGGATAGGTGTTAAGGATAGATATTAAGGTCCGACCGAGATCTCGGTCTCGGTCTCGGTTAGAGACATTCTCGGCAGAGAATCAAGCCGAGACCTCGGTCTCGTTCTCGGCATAAAAGGGCCGAGATTACCGGCCACGGCCGAGACTGCTCACGATCCCAAGATTAGCTTATTTTTGAACCTATCGCCCCACCTATCGATGACTGGATAAATAAAATACCTCCCCAAAGCCGAAAAAAAAGAATGGTTCATATCTGATCCATATATTATGATCTGATCAAATCACAAAGGGGATTTTCCGGACGGCTGAAGAATTACCGTCTTATTTCGATGCGTAAACAATGAACGAAATGTTAGATGTTAGTGTCTTATTAATGTAAGTTTTATAAATTTAATAGGATGGTGCTTTTATATGAATTACTCGTATATCTTGCTAATAAGTAATATTTTTGTGTGTAATTATTTATCGGTCTCGGTCTCGATCTCGGTCTCGGTCTCGGTCTCGGTCTCGGTCTCGGTCTCGGTCTCGGTCTCGGTCTCGGTCTCGGTTCGGTCTCGGTCTCGGTCTCGGTCTCGGTCTCGGTCTCGGTCTGGTCTCAGTCTCGGTCTCGGTCTCGGTCTCGGTCTCGGTCTCGGTCTCAGTCTCGGTCTCGGTCTCGGTCTCGGTCTCGGTCTCGGTCTCTCGGTCTCGGTCTGCAGTCTCGGTCTCGGTCTCGGTCTCGGTCTCGGTCTCGGTCTCGGTCTCGGTCTCGGTCTCGGTCTCGGTCTCGGTCTCGGTCTCGGTGTTAATCTGTGAGTGATCTGGCAGTGAAAAAAAAATCCAAAAATAAAGAAAAATGTTAAAAATCAATTTATGTTTGTCCGATTATACTGTTGTACCATAATTTATTTTGTACTTCATTATACTTATACTTGTATATATACTTAAACCGTCTCGTCGGTTGAAAACTACTGACAAGAACGAGGTGCATGGACACCTTTAGGTTCTTGAATTAGAAAATAAGAAAGAAAATTCCGGCGCGAGTTTATTTCCACTCGTCACGCCAAATTTTCATTCGCAAAGTATGGAGTTTTGGTTTGTGGGCTGGAAAAACTTTTCTGATTACCTTTAATACTCCCTGATTACGTTGTTGTTTCGGATAATGATACGCCAAATCTAGCTTACCGACGTAAAATAGGCCGCTTTGGCCGAGTTCGCTAAACCAATCCGATTGTTTGAAATTGAATAATTTTATATAATGTCTATACTTTGAATATACCGGGTTATGCGTTGCAAACATAGAAAATCCCATGCAAATTTTGAACTGTCCAGATAATGACTCTCCTGTTAATTTTACAGAGAAAATTGTAATTTTTAAATAGGTTTTTAAAGATCTGCGTATGATGAATACACGTGCTCAATTTGAACAATTTTGTACAAGCCATGCATTGTAATTTAAAACTTGTTCAAATTACAAAAAGACAAAAGCCTTAAGATTTAGGACAATATTTAGGAAATATAATTTGACCTAGACAAATTTATAAGTTGACAACGTAGGTTATGTTGGAATTTATATGGTTTTGCATTGTTATCTGTTCAGTTTTAATTTAAAAATAGACGCAGTTTTTCTCAAATCAATCACAAATAGCTTGCCCAAAATTGTTCGAGTTTGGCATGTGTGGGACGAATCTCCCCACGAGAGATGGCGTATGTACCCTGTGGTGCGATTCTATAAAAACAAATCAATAAATGCGTTGTTGCTATCGATAGCGCTCGGCAGATTCCTATTCTATAACCGCACTCGGCAAATTTCGTTAGTCGATTGACCATTCGGTAACAATAGCGATAACGCAACGGTCAACTGCTTGACGCTTTGAGAATTTCGCTGTTATTTGAGGTTAAGAAATTTGTTTGCGGGTGATAAGTAATAAGTTTGTTTTTGGTTCTATTTTATTTAGGAGAAACTGCTTATAATACAAAATATATACAATAAAAAATGGAGAAAAGAGTAAAAACAAATGGTCTTCAATGGTCCATGTTTCTCGATTTTGCCGAGAAACACCCAGAGATTTTAACTAAAAAATTCAGCTCCATGGGAAGCAAGCAGAAATAAAATGATTTGTGGAAAGAAGTGTCATCTCACCTTAACAGTATGGGATTTCAACAGAAATCCGTGGAAAAATGGCAAAAGGTAACTTATTACTCATACCTACATTTTTATGATTCAAGTGTGAATACAATAGAAAGGTACCAATGGGGGGGATCATACAATTTTTTTATGAATTATTGACAGAGTATGGATTCGGTACCTACCTAATAATCAAACAATTCTCAAAAAAGCAAAAATTAAAATAAAACTTTGACAACCTGTACATCCGTTAATATCGACTTTTTGAGAAAAGTTCATATAAACCTATGATATTTATGATAGTATGTGATATTTATAATAAAATTGTATAGGTATTTTATATGTCATATTGGTAATGATATTTTTTTCAGAATATAAATTTACCAGCTGCTATACAAGAAGCAGTGCCAGCTGAAATTGAGGAGGATCCAGCTGCAGTTGTAGAGCAACTATTGCTTTTGCCTGTAACATTATCTCTACCACCATTAGCTGCAATCAAAAGAGCAGCTCCTGAGGAAGAGCCATTTAAGGCAGCAAAATTGGAACCAAAGAAAAAGATGAGGAAATCATCAATTAAGACGTCCAGGAAAAAAATTTGATATTCAGATATGTCAGGACCAAACCATGGATATTTTAAATAAAATAAATGGAAACCTCTCTAGAATGGCAGATGCACAGGAAATAATGTGTTCCATTCTAGAGAAGTTAAGTTTAAGTTAGGTTAGTTTTGAGTTAATGTTACTGTTTTATACTTTTATATTTATAAAAATTGTGTTCTTGTTTTTTTTGTATTTATGTAGATTTTTTTTTTAATTTATAGATTATATATTTTGGTTGTTACTAAGAAAATACATTTGTTTACGACTCTATGTTTCCTATTTTCTTTTTAAATAAAGTTTCTAAAAATAACTGAAACTTAGATATTTGTTAGGTTTATTTCCATTATTGTGATAATGTTACACATAATTCCAACAAATTAGTATATTGAATTAAATAGTAGGCCAGTTAAAAACTTAAAAAATATTCAAAAAATGTAAACAGAATATTAATATACCTACAGTTTTAACTAAAAGGCATGTATACATGCTCATTTCTCTAACAAGTTTCTCTAATCATACTTTTATACTGGTGTCTTATGAAGGTTTATTGAAAAGTTTATATTATGATGAAATTGTATTCTATAAAAAGAATACATTTCATAATACTAACAAAACTTTTAAGAGCTACTCATGAGAATGAAGACATAGATAAGCATGAGAAAAATAACAATCATAAAACATTATATCTTACAAAAAACATTACAAATTAGAGTATTAATTATTAAAATATCTATTAATCATTGCATTCCTCACTGCTCTTCCCACATCTAGAGCAGCTGGATCTGGTGGAGATTCATCAATGTTGATTTGGCCATGGAGATCCTCTTCAACGTTCTCTTCCAGAGGGATTCTTGCTCTGATACACATGTTGTGAAGAATGCAGCAGGCATTGATAATGCTTGCTGCTTTTTCTGCAATAAGCCCCGTTCTCCTAATATGCAGCGAAATCTTGTTTTGAGTACTCCACTAGTCTTCTCTATACAATTTCTTCCACTAGCATTAGCCTGGTTGTACCTGTCTCCTGGAATATTTGGTTTTAACTCCAAGAACTGGGTTCTTGAGGATACCCTGAGTCCCCAAGCAACCATGTGTTTTTTCTCACCATTTTGATAGGAGTGCTCCAAAATATTACGTATTGCTGATTGCCTCCAGATATAAGCATCATGGCAACTACCAGGAAATCTTGCATTCACATAAGATATATTCAGATCTTCATCACAAATTAGTTGCACATTTATTGAATGATAACCTTTCCGGTTAATATATGCATGTTCTTCTTGTGTAGGTGCCAAAATGTTTACATGAGTGCAGTCAACAGCACCAACCACTCCTGGGACCCCACAATATTCAAAAAAAATTCTCTTTATTGAATTTCTTCACTCTGCATTATTAAATTGAATCCAATCATTACTAAAGTGAAGTACTAGAATCCTGGCAACCTCCTCTACAGCTCTACTAACTATTCGCTGACTTACAGCTAGCAGATACTCCTGGCCAACGCCTCTTTGGTAGTTCGCAGTAGCATAGAATCTTAGTGCTGCGAGGATTCTTTGTTGATAATTCACACGAGATGTTCTATATGCTATGTCCATATATTGGCGAAGTTCCTGGAGTAGATGGTTTACCAAATCCTTGTCGACACGATAAAGATGGATAAAATGGGTATCTGGCAATGAAAATGGGTCGCTTATATCCCGAAGCCTCCTGTGTTCTTCACGAAGCTGCCTTAATTGATTTTCGCGTTCCATCTGCTGAATCATTAAAACAACAGGGAACATATTAAATTAATAGAAGTGTCTAGCCATAAAAGCCAAAGACATAAACAAAAAAGTTAAGTTAGTATCGTTTAAGGATCTATTTTTACTACGTTGCCAAGTCTACATATCGATAGCGATAAGAGGTTCTTATAGAATACGTCAAGCAAACAATCTCGCTATCGCTATGCTTCGTTTTCGCTTGCTGTCGCTATTCAGACGTCTATTATAGAATCGCACCACTGACCCTGTATAATCTTATTAGATATATTATCATATTTTGTTATATTATGCTATTGAAAAAAGATGTAATGATACTTTAATAAACATTATTACTATTATTTTTATTATAAAAACTACGTCTATATTCAACTATTCTCAAATATTAAATCCCTATCAAGACCTAGAAAAAAACTAACGATACTTTTACTTGGTATATCCAGCGACTTATATCAATTTAAAAAGAAAATAACACTCGTTTTCCCCTCAATTACAGTAAATCACTGCGGAATATAGAAACAACCTAAAGGCCGGATGTGCGTTGGAGATCTTATTTTTTATTCAGTTAAAATACGCCAGAGAGCCTCAGAATAGTGCTATCAATTTTATTACCTTTTATGGGTCAAGAGGCTATAGCACTCACTTATTTACTTCGGATATATGAAACGTATAAACCGGAATTAGGAGCTAGTAATTTTATGAATTAACTAGCGTGTACCAGCGACTTCGTTCGCATCGAATTGATCATTTGTAATGGTGATGAAAAAGCAAAGCAAGAATTTCCATTAACATACAAACTGAATAAAATTTTCTCACATTTATGTCAGCATGAGAAAAAACAATATGGCGATATTATTATATAATTTGGTAATATTTGGGGGGTAGTTTCATCTCGTTGGAATGTGACTTTCGAAAAATCCGTTTGCCAAAAATAAGTTTTTTACGTCAAGCAGTTTAAGCAGAATCGTGGTTAAGAAATTACCCAACTTTTTGGAACACCCTGTATGATTTTTTAAAAAATTTCATAATATATAATAAAACAAATAAATTATGCTTGTCCAAGCGTTTTCCCGAAAGACTAACCGTTCTTTAAATAACAAATATTGTAATATTTGAAGAGCGTTTTCACCCTCTTGGAATTTGAGATTCGAGAAACCCCTCCTTATCGAACCTCTACACCCCACAGTCAATCCGTTTGCCAAAAATCAGCTTTAAACGTCAAGCAGTTTAAGCAGAATCGTGATTACTCAATGGTCATATTTTATGAAACACTCTGTATAAATTTATAAAACATCTTAAAATATGTAAAACAACAAAATAAAATATACGTGTTTAAGGTTTTTTCCGAAAATCTCAGCGGTTTTTAAACAAAAAATATTTTAATATTTGAGGGATAGTTTCACCCCCTTAGAATTCGAGTATCGAAAAATCCCTTCTTATCGAACTTCTACACCCTAAAGTCAATTGTTTTCCAAAAATGAGCTTTTTAGGTCAAGCGCTTTAAGCAGGATCGTGATTAATCAATGACCAGATTTTTCGAAACACCGTGTATACATTTTTAAAAAATCTTAAAATATCTAAAAAAACAAAATAAAATATACGTGTTTAAGCGTTTTTTCGGAAACTTGACCGTTTTTTAAATAAAAAATATTGTAATATTTGAGGGGTGGTTTCACCCTCTTGGAACTGGAATTTTGAAAAATCCCTTCTTATCGAACCTCTACACCCTAGAATCAACCTGTATGCCAAAATTGAGCTTCTTACGTTGAGTGGTTTTAAGCAGGATCGTGATTAATCAGTATGTCAAGTGACTGACGGATTTTATATATTAGTATAGATTAGAAGTCTAGAAAACAGAATATGTTTGGAAATTTTGTTTGGAATATGCAGCAGTGGATGCGAGTGGCTGTGTGATGAGGCAAATTTGTTTATTATCATGTTACTGCTGACAAGTTGGTCTCCGTTTGATTAACGCAGTAGTATTTACCAAAATTACCTATTTTATTTTGTCGATTTTTTTTACAATGCAATACCCATAAGATTTTTTTAAAGAGATGAATTCGCCATAAAGGTATTAGACATTTTTACAACAGATTTGTAAGGTCGCGGTGATTATAATGTGACTCTGACGTGCAATTATTCTGTCATAATTTACTAAGCTTGCTTGAGCCCCTGCCCTTAAAAAGTGTTAAAAAAATCAAATTAATTTTATGTGGTGATCTTAATATTGACTTTCTTAGTGTATGTGCTGCTCAGGAGTTTCTTCGGTCCATTTTCGTTTCTTTTGGAATAGCCATGCATGTAGGCTCACCTACCAGAATATCCAAAACCAGTTCTAATACTATAGACTATGTTGTGTCTTTGATCCTAACTCCATCCCCTGCAACGTCTTTAGCTCGGGTCTTTCTGATCATGAAGCAGATTTAACTAAATTTTTGATAAATTCCAAAATAAAAAATGCCCCTAGTAAATTATGCCGTATTTTTTCACAAGAGGATGCTCAAAAATTCAGCCACTTATGTAAATCAACAAACTGGGATACTCGCTCTTATGATGTTACGAAATGTTACGATACGAATTTTCTATTTTCGTAAAAACATTAACCAGTCTAGCGTTCAAATCCTTTCCTCTTAGGCCCGTCAAAAATAAGCATAACAAACCTTGGACCACTAAAGATCTACGCATATCTTCTAAAAACATGCGTTCATTATCTTACTGAAAAAAATTCGCAGACAGTGACTTCTTCCACAATTACGTAAAACTATACAGAAAAATTTATCATAAGACTGTAAGAGCCGTTAGGGACCTTTATTATAATAGGAGAATCGCAAATTCTGGTAATGTTGCTAAAGAAACATGGTATATTGTGAATGATTTGAGAAACAAAGCTTCCTCTCCTAGCAATATATCTACCTCACCTGAGAACCTTAACAATTACTTTGTAAATGTAGTCAAAAATTTAACTAATACCATATGTCCTTCTCATGATCCACTTTCATATCTCTCTAATAATAATGTAAACTTACACAGTTTCTTTTTTTCGCCCGTAGTTTTAGAAGAGTTTCGCAGTACAATTAATACCATCAAAAATAAATCCTCATCTGGGACCGACGGGCTAACTTCAAAAATGTTTTCGAATCTGCCAGAAAGCACTCTGAATCACTAACTACTTTAATAAACATGTCATTCCAAAATGGTATTTTTTAAAAATGTCTTAAGACGGCAATAATCATTCCTCTGCGTAAAGGAGGAGACAAAGATCAAGCTTCTAACTATCGCCCAATTGCACTCCGTCCAACGCTGTCTACATAAGATCATAGAAAGGTTGGTTAAAAGAAGGCTGGTATTTTTTCTGTTTAAGTACAAAATACTTACTGAACATCAATTTGGATTTCTAAGCAACAAATCCACAAATGACGCTATGTTTTCTCTCTTTAATAAAGTTTACTCCAGCAACTAAAGCTTTAACCATCATTCTACAGCAACAATTTTCAGTGAATTTTCTAAGGCATTCGACTGTGTAAATCATAAGATCCTAATTAATAAACTGCAGCACTATGGGTTCAGGGGAACATCTCTTGAATGGTTTAAATCGTATCTGAGCAACAGAAGTCAACTTGTGAGGGTGGATACCACGTTGTCTTCTAGCAAGCCAATAGAACGTGGAGTAGCACAAGGCTCAGTACTAGGCCCTATTTTGTTTCTTCTTTTTATTAACGGCCTTGCTGACATAAACATCAGTGTTAAAATATGTCTTTTTGCGGACGACACTAGCTTCACTTGGAGCAACGAGGACGTCACGGCACTTCATAGGATTATATCAAATGACTTAATCACCATTAAATCTTGGTGCGATTCGAACCTCCTGAGTCTCAACATTTCTAAAACTAAAGCTTTGTCCTGTAAAAACTATTAACCTAATAAGTTTACCATTCTTGCGATTGTCCCACTTAATTAGAAATTCAAATTTTTGAAAGACCCACGATGCAATTCTCCGTAGCCATCTATCAGTGAACTCCCAGAACTAACTTGGCTGAATAACTGGTTACTATATATAAACAAGGATAGTACTATATATAAATAAGGATTCTACTTAAGGTATTCAAATATTTAATGACTATGGTAAAGAGAATAAAAATTGATATCGAATTACAGTGGAAAGTAGCTAAAATCGAGCGAAAAAAGATGAAAATCAACAAAAAGAACGTCCCGAGTTCCTAAAAAGTGTCTTTCAGGAAAAAGAATCGTCGGAAATAATCGTTTCGCCGTTCGCGAACTAATCTAATTGACACCGGAATGCTAAAACCAGGCTTAGGGGACGGCGGGGCATGCCGGGCACGTCTGCGGATTTACGACGAAAATATTAATGAACGCCCCCGTTTCCCCTTGACCCAGCCGGCGACAAAAAGAAACTAATGAAAACTGCTGAATTTTCCGACAATCCATTTTAAACTGATAATTATCGAGAGGAAATGATGGCCTTGTTTGCTAAATCTTCTAGCAAAAATTACTACTCGAACAATCATTTTTGTTCGGGGTTTCTCTCTATCTTTTAAGGCGTGAACTCACCTAGCAGCCTGACTGAAGCAGTATTATTTTGGTATATATTAGTGGGTATACCCTCCTGGCAAGCGAAACTTTGGGTCAGCGTTTACATGTATAGGAGTGAGTCGCTATGGCAATGTAGTAAGTCGGAGAGAGCAAAAATACTAAGTATATATTACGTAACTACTTAATCTGACGCTAGATTTTATGCGCTTGGGAAAATACTCGCCTTCTGTCTTTATTCAGTACATCTTATTTTACTAAGCGTGTTGACCGTACTCTTCGTACACAATTTTTTATATTTTATCACGACACAATGGCTCAAAAACATAAAATATCCTATTTTTCGTAAAGTTCATCAATGTTCGTTGGTAAAACCATAGTATAAAAAAACTAGTAGATTTACTCCTTGTCAAATCCTTTGTTCTTTTTCTGCGACTTTGGGAGAGTGCAACTACTCATTTCCTTCTACTATGGTA